CAGAGTGGTTATTTTATTTTATTTGCATTATCCTGCTTCTTTTAAATATAAGCCTTATTTTCCTAACACTTTGCTGTAGAACAGAGTCAAATGTGAACAGTAGGGATTCTGCTATTTATCTTAACAGAGCAAGCCAACTGTTAACTATATAATTCCTTAATATTTATATCACAGAATAAGTGGTGTTTTAAGATTGAGTGTAATAAAAGATCTAAAAATGTATTTTTAAAATATATTAAATTCCATATTTTGGGTGTTCAGTTTTAAAATCTATCAATAATACCAAATGTAATGACCGTTGCTGATTATAAATTTCATAGATTGGTCCTATGTTCTGTAAGTGTTCCTATTAAGTATTTTACTTTTAAGTGCTGTTTAATTCCACTTAATGAATTTCACTTTTAGCCTGTCAAAATACATGCCTGTCTTTAAAGGAAATAATAAAAGCAAGATGTGCCTTTCTCACAGAAGATTTTTCCTTTAAAAGTGAAAGTAATACTTAAATGGTGGTTAAATATGCTGACAATTGATTGGTTTGAAAGGTTTTATGTAATATAAAGAAATTTGATACACTACTTGTTTGCCTATGTGTATGACTCTGATCTCGAATCATTACTTTGATCCTATTTCAGTTTTTGCACCCTCTGGAAGTTTAGGAAAAACAACTGAAAAGCCAAGCAGCAAAGAGAAAGAGAAAACTTCATCAGATTCTGGGTCCAAAGAAGGATCTGATAAGAGGAAGCGGAACAGAGTCACTGAAAAGGTCTTAAATGCAAACAGTAATCCTTCCAGTCCAAGTGCTGCAAAACGCCGCAGAACATAAAGCAAGCTGTGAAAGAGAAGTAATAAACTATGGAACGTGAGGAGGGAACCTTAAAAACGAGTAGCAGGATAGTTGCTGCATAAACTTTTTGGGAAAGGAAAAGATATCTGAGCCAGGTATTTGAAGAATCTGCACATTGACTTCATACGTGCAAGACTTTGTCCGTCTTTCCTGGTGTTTTTTCTAGTCAGCACCAAGTAGCCGGGCGCTGGCTGCCCTTCTCGGGGCGCTGGGGGAGGAAGCTGGCAGCCTTCAGAGCTCCTGTGTACCTAAGAGTTGGGTGGTTGCATTTCAAACGAGTAACGCACGCCGTGTCAGCACAGTTCCTGAAACAAGTGCTCGGCGAAACGCGGAGCCCCAGTTCATGGCAAACATAGGGTATTTCTGTAAATTTTGGATCGGTTTTTCTGCTTTTGCTTTGTTGCTGTCTTTGAATTTTACAGACCCTCTGTGGGCAATGTTTGGCCATTTTACTATTTTACTTACTGCAGACAGAGCGTTTGTATCCAATGTCTGAATTCATCGGTTCAGTAAAACAAATTTTTTTAAATACAGATAACAAATGAGTTGCAGTATTCTTTTGCTCTGTTTGCCAGACGAACCTTTATTTCTTTCATCCTTAGTGATGTAACATTTTTCAGTCTTTCTAAGTTTCTACACCCTAAATGAAGTGAAATTGATAATGCCCCTAGACAGAATAATTACTAACTGTCCTAAATAAAATAGCCAGTGATGTCGCATGGTTTTGTAAGGGATCAGCTGAGCTGTGCATGAACCTGGAGATGTTGCTTCATCCATTTGTAATATAGTAGTATATAACAGTGGGTTTTGTACTTCATTATTTATTTTTTTAAAGCATTTTTAGTAGATGTTAATGGAATCGCTATTCCAAAATGTTAATTTTTGTTCTACAACTTCAGAATCTGACATTGTAATGCTTATCTTTTATATGCTAGAATATTAAGATTTGATGAAGTTACTATTTTTGTGTTGTGAAAAGACGGACTGCAACCAACAAACACGTGTTAAATGGTGAATGAAGCGGGCTGAAATGTTCCTGAGTTTGTTTCACCATATTAACTGTCAGTTAATAAAAAGAAGAATTACTTCTTAATTTGTCAGTATTGCCTTCAAGGTGAGGAACTAGGAATCTACTAGTTTTTTGCTTTTATTCTAGTTACATAGCCAAGTTCTTGTCTGACTTACTTGCTTCACTTGTTTTATACCAAGAATAAATTTGACTTGCCTTTATTTTACTAAATGGTAATTGTTGCGTAACTTGATTAAAATTTGGCCCGACTTATTTTCAAAGTTATTTAGTTATCTTGTGCCTTTAGTGAAATTGATCTAAAGTGCCTACCTGTTTTGTTGGGGTTTTTTTTACTAATTTTGTCTGGATCTTACAAACTACTGCCCTGTTATTTCTGTACGATACTTGATAAGAAATCCTGGCCTGCTGAACTCAACAAACAGGTTGCTGTAAGCTTCCAAACTTGAGGATTTTTTTCTGTTCTAAGTAAGTAGCATAATGCAATTGTGAAGGACTGAGTTGAGAAGATGAAGTTTTTGTTGCGCTCTTTTGGAAGCTCACCTCCTGACCCTCTTGTACACACCGGTCAGAACTCTGCCGGCATGGCTGCTGTTATCCGCTTTAACAGCGTGACGCAAGCTCACTGGTTTAGGGTCTGAAATAAGGGGACATAAATTCCAAACCAGAAGGTATGAAGTGCCATGGATTTCGTGCTGTGCCTTGCAAAAGGCCCAGTGAGATACCTGCCAGTCGGAGAGCTCCAGAGCACTAGGCTGCAGGAGGGATGACACAGGTGGCTCAGAAGTTCTTCTAGGTGGGTAGAAACCAAGTTTTTATAACCTTATGTGAGGAAGCTCCTGGTTTTAATTTTGATGTTGATAAGAAAAATTCTCAATTCATTTGGTATGATCAAGTTTCTAGAAGTTCTAATCATACCTCAGGGATCGTTGATATGTTGAAGGGAGTGCTGAAAGATGAATGCCTCTGTTAAGTTTTGCTGTTTCCTTAAGAATTGAAAGTGCTGGTTGCTTTATTGTGATCTATGTAAATCTTGGCCATAAAGTGCATATTTTGTAACTGTGAAATCTCATGGCCTTGTGGGTAAATCCTTCCATCCAAAGGATTCTAGTCTAAATTTTTTTGCTATAGCAGTGAAATGGTTTGTGTAGCTTAAAGTCGAAATGTGTCAAGGTTAACATGTACTGGTGCAATCTCTCAACCCCAGCCTTGAAGCAGGGAAAGTCCACTTGGGATTTCATGGTCAACACCACCATTTTTATTTTTTTTAATTTGTGGGTTGCCAGCTTAGATATTTGGAACGTATAAATGCTTTTAAATGAGTTGAGTCCTGCAGCTATTTTTGCCTCCCCTTCCACCGAATCCTTGGGAAGACTGCTTTTTTTTATTCATTTTCCTGTAAGAGGAGTATCACCTCATCCTATGGAAGGATTGTGTTTTTTTTAACGCGTGAAGAAGTGAAATACACGAGTCTGGCTGAATTCTTCACTCTGAGGGAAAGAGAAAAAGCTCCCGTTACTCCAGGATCCGGTTCCCAACGACAGTCAGTTTGTGTGGCTGGGGGGGGTGGTGGTATACAGCCTGCTGAGGGAGCCCTTACTGCTGCCCAGCGCCGGGGTGGGTGGGAAAGAGCAGAATTACGTTTCCTCCTCTTTTTCTCCTCAGGGGGGGCGGCGAGGGCAGGATCCCCGGCGGAGCCAGCGCGGGAACCGCCCGGACGTGTCCTGCCGACCCGCGTCAGGCTTCAGGGTGTCTTGGGC